GGTGGGAGAGTCCGGGCGTGAGCGGCCGCAGGGCAAGAAAGAGGAGAAGCGGGGGGGGCGGCGGCGGTGGATGCTGGGATGGAGGCTGGAGGGGAGAATAGAGGAGGGGGAAGTTGTGGGGAAGCTGCCCTGCCTCCGGCCAGGTCTCCCCGTGCACCTCACTCCTGACCCACAGCTCCCTCCTTCCCTGGTGCCCCTCAGTCCCGACCCGCAGCCCCCCTGACCCCCAGCCCTGCCAGTGCTCCCCACTCCCGCCCCGCGGGCCCCACGCACCGGTGACATTGAGCAGTTTGGGCAAGAAGCGGGTCCAGAAGGCGCAGAGCTGTGCGCGCAGGCCTTGCCCTACGGCCAGGGGCCCCGTGTCGAGCCTCACATAGCGCTGCCCCGTGGCCGTGTATGGGGGCCAGTGCCCGGCCTGTCCCGATGCATCGTTGGGGTCCCTGTGGGGTGGGGGAGGTGTCAGCAGCCCCCGGCTTTCCCCCCCTCTGCTTCTCTCTGAGTCTGTCCCTCCACCTACCCATCTGCTAATCCTAAGTACCATCCATCCATCCACCAACCCATGCACCCACCCACCGGTCCCAGATACTATCCACCCACCAATCTCAGACACCACCCATCAATTCAACCATCCACCCACCCACCCACCTATCCTAGATACCATCTATCCCAGATACCATCCATCCACCCATCCATCTCTACTTCTATGTACACATCTATCCAACTATCCATGGATCTATTGATCCATCCATTGCCTGTTCATTCCTCTCCATCTTCATCCATCCCAGTTGTCTATTCTCTGTCCATCCACCCACCCACCATCTCTCCATCTTTTCCTCTGCCCACCCATCCATCTCCCCCCCGCCCACCGGCCATTGTTACCCAGTGCGGGCAAAGTTCCCCCAGTAGCGCATCATGCGGTGGCTGAGGGCGGCCTCGCTTGCTGTGTAGTTGAGCGCTGGCTGCAGGGGCAGCCCAAAGACGAACTCAATCTCATAGCCGTGAGGGACGCCCATCCAGGCTGGCCAGGCCAGCGTGGACGCGCGGTGGTCGAAGAGGTAGGCGAAGACCGGGGCTCCTCGCTCGGCCGCCCGCTGCGCGAACAGAGTGACAGGACACACCACGTTGTGGTCACCCACCACATCGTCCAGTGCCTCCCGGTTCTTCACTGGGTCCTCGGGGTCCCGCCAGTCCGTGTACTGGAGCACCACCGCCTCGGCCGCCAGCTCCCCAGCCTGCGGGACCCCCAGCCGCACCCCCCCCAGGAACTCTTCACGGGTGATAAGGCTCTCATTGTCCTTGCTGAACCCTGGTGCCCCATAGATCAGGAAGTAGCTGCCTTCATCGTGCACCACCCCGGCCAGCACTGGCATCTCGGCGAAGCTGCCTGCGTTGAGCAGCACCTCGGGGCTGTCGGCTAGGAAATCCCCATCCACCACTGGCACGAAGGGGAAGCGAAAGACGCTGGGCTGCGGCAGGACCCCCCACTCCTGGTCGATGAGGTCCTGGGGTGACCGGGACCGGAGACAGGCCACCACCTGCAAGAGGATGGCAGGCGTTACTGACACGGTGCCAGAAGTGGGGACCAGCCCTGCTGAGGGAAGTAGTGTGCCGGGAACTGGGAGGTGCGTGAGCTGGTTGTGCATGAAAAGTGCAATAGCGTTATCATGCTGCAAAATGGCAGCTCATGCAGTAAGTGGAGACTGGCCGCATGGGACAAGCAATGAGCATAGTGAAGCATGCAATAAGTGTAAACTGGCCACGTGTGCAAAGTAATTACCATACAATTAACTGGTGAATTGCGCAATAAATGGAGACAAATCACCTAGGCAAATTGTCACACCATGAACTGGCAAATCGCACAATAAATGGAGACTGCCCATGCAGGCAAAGTAATTATCATGCAATTACCTGGTCAATTGCACCATAAATGTAGACCGGCTACAAAGTAATTATCACATCATGGACTGGTGAATTGTGCAATAAATGGAGACTGGCCACATGTGTGAATGATTGTCACACAGTTCATGAGCCCCCTCCCTTCAATTCCACTCAGGCTGGAAAGGAGCTTCTCATTAGCGTTACCCTGATGACCTCCCGTTTGTGCCCTTATGGGGATGCACCGTGGCCCATGGGGGCGCAAAGGGGCACTGTGGCCCCACCCATCCAGCCCCGACCCCCCTCCCGAACACCTCATGGACCGTTCTGGGCTCTTTTTGTAGCTGGACGACCATTTTGATGACTTCCATGCAAGACGGTGTGCATGTTGCTGCCCCATTCCTTGTTACCTCAGAGTCATTGCCCCCGGCTGGACACCCCACGCGGTGCGCCAGTTCCAGTGCCCGCCGCCGGCTCTCCCCAGGGCTGATGGTGGCCCAGGGCCCATTGGGGGCCCCACTCTGCAGCACAGCGCGGTGGAACAGGGCCCGGCTAGCTGGTGACAGCAGGTGCATGCCCACCGAGGCAGCTCCAGCACTTTCCCCGAAGAGTGTGATAGCACTAGGGTCCCCGCCGAAGGCGCGGATGTTGGATTGCACCCACTGTAGGGCCAAGCGCTGGTCCAGCAGCCCTACATTGCCCGGGGCCTCAGGGCTGCCCAGCAGTGCCAGGAAGCCCAAGGCACCCACACGGTAGTTCATGGACACCAGCACCAGCCCTTCAGCCTGTGCCAGATACCGCCCATCATAGACGTCCAGTGAGGATGAGCCACTGTAGAAGCCGCCGCCGTAGATCCAGACCAGCACCGAGGCGTTGCGGGGCCGTGGTGACGGCACCCAGACATTCAGGTACAGGCAGTCCTCGCTCAGCTCCCGGTTGGGGTTCCACATCTCCAGGCCAGGGAAGCCGGGGTACAGCTTGTCCACGTACTGCCAGCAGGCCTGGGGGTAGGCGCTGGCGTCTCGCGTGCCGCGCCATGGCCGCCGGAGGGGCCGCGGGGGCCGGAAGCGCAAGGGGCCAAGTGGGGGCTCGGCATAGGGGATGCCCAGGAAGGCGGTGACGTGGCCAGACAGCGCGGGCAGGCGCAGCCCCCGCACCGGCCCTGCCTGTGTCTGAGCCACCAGCTCTGCCGTGGCCCCCTCTGGCTCCTGGGGGGTGGCTGGCAGGATGAGGAGGAGGAAGGGGAGGAAGGCACCGGCGTTGGGGATCATGGTGGTGACGGCAGGTCCTACGGGAAGATGCCCAGGTTATGGTGGCCGTGCAGCCAGGCAGGGAGGAGCAGACAAATGTCCCCCTGACCACTCCGCCCTTGGCTACTTCTTGCCTGGGAGAGGCCCTGGGGTGAGACGCGGGGGGCAGCTTCTGGGTGTGTCGGTAAGGACCCGGCTGGACCGGATCTGGTGGGGCGGGGGGGAGAAACTGGCCCCCCA